AATATTGGCCATTAGATTAGAGTAGATGAATGGACTAGATGCAAGATGAGAAACCACTGCCACGATGACAATTACATATGAAAAGGGCAAATTAGACAAACAATCTGAATCCTAATTAAGGCAAACCTACGATTCTGATATGCAACCTAAAATAAAGAATATTAATTCTAGTATGATTAGTTATTAGGCAATACACACGGCACTCCCAGACCACCGCGATCCACGACTCCAACGGAAAACACCGTGTATAGAAAGAAACCGGCGACCCAAGCACGACAAACACAAGGAGGACCGGCGACGCCACGTACGACAACAAGGAGGCGAACATGGAAGGGACGCCACCATCAGTACCAAGTAAACATCACAACTTGATTATGATAGATGTAGAATAGAAAGCGAATTATTATTGAAAAGTATGCGCATAAATACAGTTACTATTCATAATCAATTATTGTGTGCAGTATATATTTATGTATTGGGGAAAACATGGACAAACCGTGAGTAATGGGAAACCCTAATCATGAACACGACATGAATACTGTAATGTGGTGATAGGGAAAACAAAATTACTGACCCGTGCACATAACCAGATAGTCACACGCACACATAGGATACTACAAACTTTACGTACAGTGACGAAAGTTCCAATGCTACAGTGAAAATAAAACAATCCACCCGTGCACAGATGTAAAACATCAATGGGACACCTAGAAGACACCATACGGCAGTAGTAAACACCCAGGAAAAGTTATACAGCCATTGGATAATTAGGAGAAAGGATTGCATGTGTTTAGGGTGAGGTGCACACAAACGGGGGGGACGTGTGCACACAACAGAAACCATTTAAAAACCCTGGAAGAAAAATGCACAAAGCGAACCATCCTAGTAGAACCTTGGACACAGAGAAAGCCTAACATGCACATATTGCGAAAATTATCGGACTACAAAACTAATGTGTATTTCATGTGTTGAACAGGTCAAGGCCAATGTAGCCACTATGAAACACAGTGCGCAATGGAAATCCGTGATGATGGTGCAAAATACTACACACCGGCAACAGAAAAAGAGATGACACCATACGAAGGACAGCAATTCGAAACAGTAGACATCGGGATTGATTTCTACGAAGCATACGCTAAGGAAGTAGGATTTGATGTTAGGCATGGCACAAAGCGGAGAAATCGATTCGGGGAAGTGTCAATTAAATATATGCTATGCTCACGAGAGGGTTACAAGGCCGAACGGAAGGAGTCAACAAATAGCTCAAAAGAAAAAGAAATGAAGGAGAGTGTCCAACAGGATAGGCTGTAAGGCACGTATGGTAATGACAAAGTGCAAAACTGGTGGGTATATAGTCCATGCAATGGAACTACGACATACACATTGTCTATGCTCGGACAATGGCAAACCTTTTTTAAAGATAAATAGACAACTTGACATCGGCCACAAAACCTTCTTGGCTCACTGTGCAAAGGCAAACATAGGACCCACAAAAGCATTCAGACTGTTCAAAGAGATGGTGGGCAGTTTCACAGATATAGAGCAACATGCATTGACTTCTGCAATTTTAGACGGGACTATTGGCCTACATAGCTGAGGCGGACGCCCAAATGCTGATAGAAGACATGTTCAAAAGAAAAGAGGACAACCCGGACTTTTATTTCGATTTTGACATAGACGAAGAAGCACAATTAACTAGGTTATTCTGGGCAGACGCAGAATGTCGGAGGAATTATGCATGCTTTGGAGACGTCATGTCATTTGATGCTACATACAGCACAAACAGGTAAATATCGCACTTCATTACATATGATACCTACTGACTGTGCATGCATGCTAAAAAAGATGTGCGCATACACTGCTTATGTTAATAAAAAATATATATATATAATATATATACTCGTGTGCTTGATGTACCAGATTTGTGTGCGCAGTAGCGTGCAGGACACTGGTACTACAACCACAACAAGTTTGCGAACTACTAATTGCAACCGTGCTTACATTGCAGGTACAAGTTAGTGTTCGTCCCTTTCACTGGGGTGGATAACCACAAAAGAAGCATTACATTTGGGGCTGGCTTGATTGCGAAAGAGGATGTAGAGTCATATGAGTGGCTAGCCATGAAGTTCAAGGCAGCCATGGAATACACACCAAGATGTACTACAACCGACCAAGATCCAGCACTAAAGATAGTAGTACCACAAACTATGCCAACAACCAGGCACAGATTCTGTATGTGGCACATCATGTCAAAAGTTGGAGAAAAGGTAGGGGTTGCACTGTGGCATAATGCAGACTTCAAAAAGGAACTGAATAATACCGTATGGGATGACACATTGACCGTAGATGAATTTGAGAGAAAATGGACAACACTGATGAAGGACTACAGTCTTGAAGAACATAGGTGGTTTGCACAACTGTACGAGGCACGTGCCTCGTGGATACCAGCATACTTCAACGACATACTAATGGGAGGACTGCTAAGGACGACATCACGGTCAGAATCAGAAAACAGCTACTTTGGAAAATTTACAAACCACCACTGTAGCTTGGTAGAATTCATGGCACAATACAACAGTGCAATTGGAGAACAGAGACATAGACAGTTAAAACTCATTGCCGAAAATGAAGGTTCGTACCCTGAAACTAAAACCCCTTTGAGTATTGAGAAGCACGCTGCGAGAGTGTACACAATAAACATATTCTATGAATTTCAACAAGAGGTATGGGATGCCAGTTTCACGTGCTACATCACCGACAAAAACTCCGTAGGTGATATATGGACTTACAAAGTTGAGGAACGTGGAAAAATGTTTGAAGTAACAGAAAACCCAAGCAAGGAGCAAATAGAGTGTGCATGCAAGCACTTCAACCGTGTCGGTATACTGTGCAGGCATATTGTTCCACGATGGATCACGAGACGCACATGCACAGCCATTACACGATGTACCATGGGCAAGAAGAACAAATATTATCAAGGCGAATGAAACAACAAAAGTTGCAAATCAGCTATGGAACGAATTCTACAACTGCATTGGATTAGCGAATGGTTGGCCAGACAAAATGGACAAAATGTTGGCAACATTACAACAATTGAAAAAAGATCTAGAAAGAGAGACGCAACAAAACACAACAGAGTGGCAACAACGAATCTGTGTTCGAAAGACTAATAGGATCACGCAGACCAGGAGACATACAAATAAAACCACCACAAGTGGCAAAGAACAAAGGAAGTGGGAAGAGACTCAAAAGCAACAAAGAGAAAGCCATCACAAATAAACAACAGAAAAAAGGACGAACATGCAATATATGCGACTTGCCAGGCCACAACAGTCGCACCTGTCCAGATAAACTTGCATCACACGAAGTTTAGAATACTATTTATTTTATAAACAGTGAACAATGCAATTTAGTTTACGATTACGAACCGTACACCATTATTTATATGAAGCACCCTTGTTATACATACGATGTGCGCACTGCCATTAATTTATAAACTGCACAATATTGGTATTAATTCGATTTTATGAAGCGTAAGTCAGCACACAGGGCAATACGTACGAGCACACAACTAATTGTCTACACGCCAAGTTGACAACCACTCGTGCACACCTACAACACACATCCGCCCACTCGTGACCAAAAACTCACCCCGCGCACAGAAACACATCATAGCGGTGCACACAACCACAAAACTCATTAATTGGATAATATGAACACCCATTGAGTACATGGACTCATTAATCCGTAGCATTCTGTTTTAAACCAAAAAAAAAAAAAAAAAAAAAAAAAAAAAAAAAAACACAGCAACCACCCTACGCACCCGGGGAAATAAGTCCAAGCACACAACTATTAGTCTACACACCAAGTTCACAGACAAACCCCCACACACATACACCACAAAGCCGCGCACAAATGATCGAAAATAATCCCCGCGCACAGAAACACGCCACAGCGGTACACACATGGTCGAACGTGATCCCATACCAAAGTATATATACCGCACACCCAGCGCACACAAGCTACACTGCAGTGCACACAGGCACCCACTTATTCGCACAAACATTAAAGGGAGCAGTAATTAGGATACCATGCAAAAAGATAAACTAATAAGCATTGGATATAAGCAAATATTGAGTAAAAAGCACAACCACGAAATAGCACATCACAGTGCGCACCACAGCGGGAGAGAACAGCGTACAGAACCAAAAACAAACTCTAAGCACAACTACAACGTCTGGGTGCACACAACCCCAAAAAAAACCAAAAATGCCTAACTAAATAGGTCACAAGTCTACACAGGTGGAAGAGGAGCAGATATGGACTGGTACGCCCAAGAAAGATTGATCTGCCTGTGCACATTATGAACTGAAATCACAATCTCTGACATGTAACGCAGCCTAAGCTTGTGCAACGAATGGGTATCCCCCTTCAATAGACCACACTCCCAATCACGAACACGTTGGCCAACATACGATTCCATATGCCGCATGAGAAAAACACCACAATCAACCTTATTCTTTGAATCCCGCCAAGGCATTTGCAACCGTTTTGACTCCACACAAACACACGCAGTAGATCGCGGAGGAGAAATAACTTCAAAGAATTTAGATAGCATCCCTAGCTGAAATCCAAAATACTCAACGCTCATACTATAGAAAACTGGATAAATAAATAACACAAACAGAACAAAAGCGGAGTAGGGGCACACAGAGAGCAATACTAACCAAATCCTCAATACAATCGCCATATTTCAACGCCTTTGCTTTAGGATTAGAATCATTGTCAATAATCTCATAACGAAACCGGGGGAAATCAAGGCACAACAAGAAGTAGTGACCACGCCGTAGAATTGGGAAAAACAGCTGCACACGACAAAAAAAAAAAAAAGCATTCGGGTGTGATCTAGTGGTACACCAAAATATCAGACCGAACACATGAACTCAACCTGTACGCACATAAAAAGTGTGCAATGTGCACACCTGATATACACCAAGATACTAAATGCTATTTAGAAAAATACTAAAATAATAATTTAAAAATATACATATGGCATTACAGTATCCACACAATGCATGTATGAAAACTTGAAATACTAATAGACTTGGTGGCTGCATATGGTGAGGACATGTTATAATAGTATGCACATAAGAATTGTGTAGTGCGCACACCTGAGACTGGATGTGCGAGCATACAGAAACACACAAACCTAAGATGGAAAAAACAAAACTTCATCAAGCATACCATGTCAACTTCACAAATATCTTCATACGGTGACAACTTCAAGTCCATCCTCAACCGCTCAGAGAACCAAGCTAACCTCTTCTCCGGGGGATGGGAAGTATCAACCACTGTAGACAACTAAAGAATACAGGAAAAAAAAAACAAATAAAAAACCGGATACCAAAAACCCCAAACAAAGCAACCAACAGTAAAATGAAATGGAAGTGATGGAATTGATACTAACCGTCGTGAACGTCGAAGCAAAAAGCCGTGAGGGTGACGCACAGCCCTTAGTAGCCTCCCGACGATTCAACACAGCTGACCAAGCATCTATAACACCAACATCAACCTCAGAACCCGGTGTCAGCGATAGCAAACTCTCCCACGACAAAGTCCGTTCACCAACACAGAATATAGTCTCAACCCTAATATAACCAAATAGTAAGTGCAAAGAATAAAACGAATATGCAAACCAACATAAGAAACAAAACCGGTAAACTAACATGTCAGCAGGCGACCCCCCCAATAACCAATTCACTATTAACGCATCCTCCGGAAGGTCAGGCATGGGAAACGCAACAGCTTCACTTGGGCCTGTTGGCTCATACTGAATAGGAGCGGCAACAACGTGGGGGACGGATCCAAGAGGCATAACGGGACGCACCGCTTTCACCGGAGCCGCACACACCGGGCCATCAGACAACGTGGGCTCAGAAACCACATTAATTTTTAAACATTCCTGCCATGAAACAAAGAAACAAACAACAACAAATGACACCAAACACAACCCCATAAACATTTAAAGGAACCACTACAAATCCAAAACGTCCGTGCACAATTACAAATATAAACTAGCACACAGCAACCCCCAAAAAAATTAAAATAACCCACAAATCCCACAGCTATCTACATCAGCTATCAGAACACACCTTAAAAAAGAAATCACCAAAACAAACATCTGCTACGCACATCTATAATAACCAGTATGCACAGAACATGAGGCCTATGAACAGAATATGTTTGCGAACACAAACAAAAACAACGAACCTCAACTGGGGTACTGAATGGTGCACAGTCCGACATAGGGGAAACACCCAAACCTGAACCAACACCACCAATGCCAACATCGCCCCCCTCTGGCAAAACCACATCTTCATCCGACACCCTAACATCAGCTTGTTCGGCACACACATCCCCATCGCCCTACAAAGGAACACACCCAATACATTACAACAAACACCACAAAAGTAGCCACTAAACAGCTTCAAACATCCAACGTATAGTTAGTAAGGGGAACACAAAATATTTACATCGCCCCCCTCAGGCAAAACAGCCTCATCACCCGGCACCCCAACAGTAGCTTGTTCAGCGCACACATCCCCCACGCCCTACAAAGGAACACACCCAATACATTACAACCAACAGCACAAAAGTAGCCACTAAACAACATCAAACAACCAACGTATAATACCGGGAACAAAATGCATTTACCTCATCCATAACATTACCCCCGTCACGCTCAACAGCGACACACTCCGCAGCAATATTGTTAACCACTTCAGTAACTGCATCCGGACCACTAACATAAACACCCCCGAACCCAAAATCCTGGGTCAAACCAAGGCTAAAAGACGGAACATCACTCAAGCTCACAGACCCAACAATGGCCCGAAAGTCAGCATCCAACTCACGCAAACGGGGCTGAATAGGACCGTACACCTGCCGACAAACCTCAGCCTCCATAACTGTACCACGAGCCATCGCGAAGAAATCGGCCAACCCACGAATGGAACTCTCTAACATAGCACCAACCTCACCAACCACGCATTCAAAAGTCTAGGGGAACACAAACAGAAGCGCATATATCAGCATGAAACAAATACGCACACAAGATTAAACTAATGTGCACAACAGTAAACCACATGACGGCACTACGTAAACAAATGAAACGAACAACCTTGCATCTAAATGTACTCACGTGCACAATAACCCAAATGTCTGTGCACTGGTAACTCGAACCACAATGTAACGAAAACAAATACACCACAGAACACAGAACAAAAATAAGAAACTGAAATAAAAGGTTTACCTTGGGGCCAAAATCAGGATGATGCACATCCCCAGCATGCGATTCAAATACAACCATAGGGGGCTCAATGACACCAACCCCAAATCCACCACGGCTTATCTCCGCACCCTCCCGGGAAGCTAACAACTCAGACGTCCACCCCCGAAATGAAGGCAACAAACGGGGTACAGAACGCTCAAAAGGCAAGACCCGGTCCACATAAAACAACTGAAAAATAAACACACCAAATTACGGCAACATGCAACAAAAAAAATAAATCCCTCACAAAATAAAAAATAAACTCATACCGCAACAAACTCAGCAGGCCCAACAAAGCACTTATGCCGACCAGATTTCCAAGCATCCTGCGTCTCAACCAACGAATCCAAAAGAAGCTTGCACCAATTCAAATCGCGAATGCGTCCAACGTCATCAAAACACTGGAAGTACATCTGATTAGCATAGCCGTTGCTCATAGACGACACCAACGTGGAAACCACCAACATACAGAAATGCCTCTTGAACCACACCCCACCATTCACCTCGCCCATAACCTTCTCTGCAATAAGAGACGCAGTCACCCTATGGCTCACCTTCTCAAACAAACCCCTCTAGTGTTTCAACAAATTACTAATATGATGCTTATCACGTTTTGCCATCTCAATATGACCCCGTGGAAACCCCAACACTAACTCAACATCGTGTTCACTGACAGACAAAGATCTACCACCACCAAGGTCAAATGTCCTCGTCTGGCCATTAAATTGACTTAAAAGCCAATGCAAAAGACGGGGAGGACACTCAGCCACCTTGAAATCCAACAATGACCCAAACCCCAAGCTCCTAATATCATCCTTTTGCTACGTTGACAAATCTACAAGCGAATCCACAAGCGCTGTAGCCTGTGCCCGAAACTTAATAGTAGGAAAATCAGATCCCTCTTCAGAAACATCCCCACCAACAGACTGCTCAGACAATGCATCATCATCGGGAACAGCATCAGCACCATTCCACAATGGATCTTGTTGCAATCTCGCCAAAAAAGCCAAAGGCGGTGAAACAAAATCATCATCACTCAAACAACTTAAAGGGCCACCAGGAGCACACTGCGCCACCTTAACCTTCTTACCTAGGAAAAAAAAAACGCATCGACATACGCAACCAACTACCACGAAGACACACAAACATGAAATAACAATACACGCAACAAAAGTAATTATTGCATCCAAATAAATTGCAATTACACAGCCAACATTTACAGGAGTAATACACCAAATTAAAAAACCCACACCACAGTAATCTAAACACCAACAAGGAATGTACCACTACTCCGTGCACACAGGCAGACATACGTGTGCACAACTCAACACTTGTTGCTGATTTGTTTACATACAAGGAGTTTTCCAGAAAAATAAACTGGAAATAAAATGTGTATATATGAAATAAAAAAATAAAAAAAAAACTAAAACATCAAACATATACAATTATTTTATCTCCATGTACAAGAAGATATGTCTTTATAGAAGCAGTAAAATATCCATCACAAGAGGGTTATGAAAATAAGACCTAACATCAAACAACAAATGCAAAACAGAGGTGAAACTAAACACAACATACAAATACCCCCCCCCCCCCCAACCCCCTACTGGCAGCAGAAAGTAGAAAAAAAAAAGAATAGAAGTATCTCATGTACAATATGCATCACGACAGGGTTATAAAATTAAGACCTAACATCAAAAAACAAATTCAAAACTGAGGTGAAAGTAAACACAACAATGCAAGCATACAAATACCCCCCTAATGGCGGCAGAATTCTGGAAAAAAAAAAAAAAAAAAAAAAAAAAAAAAAAAAAAAACAAGAACTAACGAAATGCAAGGAACAAAAACCCAAAGCCACAATTTCCATACCAACAAACCAATAATAGACAAGCCAAAACAATCAAATTCCAAACCCCAAACAACCCACACACACCCCCACCCAAATCCCGAACACGGCAGAACCACCGGAAAAAAAAAAAAAAAAAAATTGGCAGAAATGCTAACAATAAAACAACCCAGCAACAATTCTCATTCCTACTTAATGCATACTAATAAAAAACCCCAAGGAATTAATTGGGCAAACACATGCAAGAGAACCCCCAAAATATGAACCCTAGCTCCAAATTAATGAATAAACCAGGGAAAAATCACCCCCTCCACCCCTGTTATACAATCGATGCGTAGAAAGGAGAAAACAACGAACAACAGAAAACAAAACCGCAAGAAACACAAAAAATCCCCAAAAAAAAAAAAAAAAAAAATAGACGCCGTACCTCGGCCGACACCTCGGACCGGTGGTCCCCACCTCTTCGACGCCCCGAGGTCCCCACGTTCTACCATTGCTCCGTGGAAGTGAAAAACGCGAGAGGAAACGAGACGCGAAGACCGCAAACGTGAGGCACGCACAGCTTAGCAGCGAGATGAATGGCGAAACAGAGAAGTCTTGCGCGTGGATGAATGAAATATGGACAATTCTGACTAGGACTCAAATTAATACAAAATACCATAAATACCCCACAAGAAAAAAAAACCCCACCCTTAACGTAAAAACACTATTCAGACGCGGAAAATCTTCAACGAATCTGGACCATTAAATCTCACCATCCAATGGTTCAATATTGTCCACAAGTTTGTATTTTAAACCTTGTTTTTACCTGAATGTAATTCTATATATATATATATATATATATATATATATATATATATATATATATATATATATATATATATATATATATATATATATATATTATGTTTCAAGAGCTTTTTCATTTTTTTGGGAGGGAGCTGGGTAGGTTCTGAGCTGTAACAGTACAAAATTTGATGATTCAAGAACAAGCTAAGGGCAACATTTTTAATTGGTAAATACTACAAGTACGTACTGCATAGTAGAAATTACCAATAAGCAGTTTCTCAAACTAAAAATAACTAACTATGATTTTGAAGTAATGATGCTCCAAGTCTTGAAGAAATTATTATAACTCTTGATATTTTGATGTTACAGCTTGGTCACAAATGTTAATCTTTAAAGACAAAAATTAAACATTAAATCTTTTATTGAATTATGAATTTGTATTAAAGGCATTATAATATTCTTTTTAATCTACCAACATAGGCACTCTAGGTAAGAGAGTTAAAATTGCACTCTTGAAAAGAGGGCATCAAAATTTTTCAGACAACATGCAGAAATATTAAAACCGAAAACCAAAAAAAAATTAAAAAATCTGCTGCCACCACCTGACTAGTGCATATTTCTACTTAGAACAACTTGTAAAGTTACAAGCACAATTTGATGCATAACACTTATTGGGGCTGTATCTCTCTAACACAATGGCAGGCATGAATTGGATCCCAAGCAATTTTGTAGCTAGGTTTGAATTAAAGATGACATTTTGCATACTAGAAAATGCAACCACATTCTAGTTTTTTATCTTTCCCTCACACAGATCCTAGCTAGTATCTCTCCAGTCCACTCTATTTGTTACTTTGATAGATCAGATGTTTTTTATAAATGTTTCTCTTTCCAGTGTTAACTGATAATCTTTAATAAGCTAGAAAAATGGCAAAAATCATCAAAACCACACATTAATCTCCTACTAAAGACTTGTTACTTACATTAACCCTTGTATGACACAACAAGTCATCTTTTTCACATACATCAAGACAAGCATATATAGAATCACTACTATACCCTAAAATGTCACCTCCAATCTACAGCTTGCTTCAAGAAAATACTTTGAGGATGGCCAAACCCACATGTACAAATCTATCAACAACAACATATGCACAGAAACCAATAAATCTCACATATAAATATAGGGACGGACATGATGATCCATCGCTACTATGTAAGCACAAACTAACCCCGCTTGCAAATTTAGCGACGAATATGGATATCCGTCACTAATCTGTACCTATTATAATTAAGAAATTATCCCGCAAAATTTCCGTCGCAACTTTGTCTCTAATTTTTGCGCCAATATTTACCACTAATATTAGCTACGGATTTAACGACAACAATTTTCCGTCGCAACTTTGTCTCTAAATTTTGCGCCAATATTTACAGCTAATATTAGCTACGGATTTAACGACAACAATTTTCTGTCGCAAACGCCGTCACTAATACGTCACTTAACCGTCTCTAAATATCTATTTAACCAAACAAATAAAATCTGTCACAAAGTCGTCGCTAGACCGTCGTTAGATTAGCAACGGAAGTAGTCCGTCGCTAAATCCGTCGTTATTTTGGCCTTTTTTTGGTAGTGGGAGGTGCCCTTTGATCAGCTTAAAGGTCACACTCAAAATCCTTATGCCCCCTTTTTCCACACTTAAAGCACTGCAACTGATTCTCCTGACAGTCCTTCCCGATGTGGTCCTTGCCATATCTCCAGCATCCATAGGGTTTCCCCTTTCCTCCATTGTCTGATTTGCTTGCTCCCTAAACCTGTGGGTAGGCCGGCCTAGAGTTGAAGTTGTTCCTTGGCCTCTTGAAGTTCAGATTTCCGCTCCCCTCACCCCTTCTCCTGACTTGGTCGCTTGATCCTCTTTGCATTTGTTGGATTCGGTACAAGTCCGATGCGCTAGAGTAGGCTTCATCAAGTGTCCTTGGCTTGAACACCGTTAAGGATTTTCTTGCCTCATAGTTCAAACCTGCCACAAACTTTTCTACTCGAGCGGCCTCGGTAGGAACCAACACCTGAGCGAAACGGGATAGCCTCAAGAACCTTTTGTTGTATTCCACCACAGTCGAAGCCCTTTGCTTGAGTTAGAAGAAATCCTCGTACATTGCTGCCCGGACATGCGAGGGATAGAAGTGCTCTCGGAGTCTGTCCTTCAACCTTTCTTAACAAAATCCCGGTTCTCCTTGGCAATTCGGCCCTTCGTGGACCCACCACAAGTCTGCCTCATGACTGAAGTAGAAAGTGGCTAACTCAACTCAGCGCTCTTCCGAGCATTCAACCACCGAGAAGATCTTATCTAGCTATCGGATCCACTCTTCCAAGGTTGCGGGATCTTCTTCACCGGCAAATACTGGAGGGCGGTGGCTTGAAACTTGTCGGCCAATGTCGCGGATCCCATTCAGTGGCAGCGGCGGCGGAGGATTGGTGTGATTGTGGAGAAGC